TCACGTCCGATGCTCAAAAACTGTTAGTCAAGTGAAAGCAAAGGCTGCATGTTTTCTTCCTCATTCTTATCCATGCGTTTCAGCACCCCAGGATCCACAACTGACTGAGACCTGCAGAGGGACAACATGTTTATTTGACATTTGTAGACAAATGAAGGTAAATCTCAGCTTTCTTTTCTTTATTTTAATTTCCATCAGCACTTAAAAATAATGGTACAACATTACTCAAGCATCTGATCATTGCAAATGGTCAAGAAATACCTTCATGGAAGGATAACATGGTTTTAAAGGGCTCAGTGCTGATTTGTGAATATAGGAGGTGGAATAAAGAGTATCCTTTCTTCTGCAGTGAAACCATGAAGCAGGGCACATCCTCAGCACACAACAGCAAACTAAGATGTTCTCTGTACTGACTTAAGCACTGACTGATCTCTCCAGAAGGTTATATGGCACTGGGCTGGTAAAGAAGACAGTATTCAGCCACCCAGCTGGCTAAAGGCACACTGCAATTAAGCAGGATGTGTTAGCTGGAAGCACAAGTTGCTCCTTTTCTGAATAGCACTTAAATTCAACAGTGTGAGATCCTAAGCCAACCCTAGGGAACACTGCCATGGCCAGTAGGATTTCTGGAGTGGACAAATCTGTCAAACTCATTTATCAGCACAACTAAACAGGGCATGGAAGGATGGTAAAGGCAAATTCAATGACACTTGTAAAATTTCTCCAGGTTCTCTGATTCAGCACAGAAGCATATCGTGGTACTAGTACCCTGTAACAGCCATATATGAGGAACAAAGGAAAACCCAGCCTCCAGCAAAATCAAAATGCTCCATTAAAAACAAAGCCTGAAGTGTTAAGATGGAGTCTCACATCAGCTATATATCAGCTTGTCAAAAAGCAGACACTTCTGGAGTACTGTAAAAGCAACCCTTGTCAGATGTTTCTTTCAATGAGAAGAATCTCATGCTACAAATTCCTATTTCTCTTTATTTCTGTAAAGAAGATTTAAGATAGCTAAAGAGCATGTGTATATCTCTGCAATGCAGGAATCTATTCTTGATCAGCGGAAGCATACAGTGACTGAAGCACTGCTACTAGTTTGCCCATTTGGAGGGCTATAGCACAGAGAAAAACTTTATGAATTCTGATCTCTCCTAGCATATGGAGCCAATACCCCACTCTCATAAACCAGCATCATCCAGTGAAACCAATGAATGAGGCTGATAGCAGGAAACAATTTGGTCTTTCTCAAAAAAAATCTAAAGAAAACTTACCAAGACACAAGAAAAAAAAATCTGAATTAAAGCCTAGATGAAAACTTTAAAGACAAGGATATATTCTAATAAGACTTATCACATTCTCCTACCAATGTTAAAATAAAGAAAAATAGCTTTACAAATATGACAGTCTCTCTTATGATAAACACAATTTTAAAAAATTTAATGAAGTAACACTCATCCTGAACACTAGTCAGTTCCTCAGGCAGAAAACTAAACTACCAACTAAAAATGCTTTTTCAAAACCTTTACAAGGTACTGTGCAAAGCTGATTGAAAATTTGCTGGTGGGAAGCTGCACATATGGAAAATCCAGTTCATCACGATAAAAATTGCTGTGGAAGCATATTAATTTCAAAGGATTGCCAACTGAATATAAGTACTAAAACCGAGCCTTTCCCTTGGCTGCCAATGTCTGGGCAACCAGGGTTTCCAGTTCTCACCCAGGGAACTGAAGGGGAGCTGGAATGGCTGCAAACCTAGCCTCAAATTCCCAGTATGAGAGCTTTGTCCATAAATTCTCAGGCCCTCCAAAACCCCTGGTGCCAAGGCAGATGTGAAAATTGAAACACATACATCCTGATGTATGGTTTGCAAACCCAGGTGCCTAAATGCTTGGAAGAAGGAGAAATAGACATTTACTGTCATGTTTCATCCCATTCAGCAGCAATTACAAATGAAGGTATGTAAAAGGAAAAACATTTGTCTAAGTCCATAGCACCTTCTATTCTCTTTCTTCTGTACTACCATAGCACACCGACTGTGGTTTTAAACTGAGAGGAATCAAATCCAAGTTAAATTTAATTTTTGATGAAATAGAGTTCATCTGTTTTACCTTAACTTTTCTATCTGTGTTTTAACACAGTCTGTGCACTTAATACATCCAAGTCCTGGGACTTTCTGTCCATCCTACTAGTTGGTACTAGCACAGTATGTCTATTAGTAATTTTATACTCAACAGCAGGGAATGAGGATTCCAGCAGGTGCTGCAGGCATGCTAAGTCAAAAAGAATGTGAAGGAGGTCAGGAAATTTCAGCTTATTATTAGGTAGACACAAATTTCAACATTCTTAATTTCTGCAGTAGGTCTCCTATTGTGTCAGCTTACCCAGACTGAAAGAATGTCAATTTGAAGCTTACACTGATGTGTAACTCTGTATGAAGGATTTTTCAAGCACAAGTGAAATAAGAACAAAAATTATTTGAGCAAAAATGAAGAAGCTGGTCAATTCACTGCTTTTACTTAGGCAAGTAATGTGCTTGCCTAAGATAATCTGGAAAACTCTGCCCCAAAGGGTCTTGCCATAGGCCTTCTCATGGTTTTTTTGTTATACCTGTGGATTAAGTTATTTACTCTCACTATTTCGTTCTGCAACAGTAAGTTTCCTGCATTTCAGTTCCTAAATTTCACCCTTCTATCCAAGATAGCTTCTCTATTTTCTCATAAATCTTGTATTATGCACAAATCATATATAAATTTATTGCTCACCTTTCCCCTTACCCTGGTACTTTGTCCCATTTTCTCCATTAATTGTGTTAATTAAATCTTTGTCATATGGCTTTAGAACATTTTTTAACTTTTCCTTATCCTAGCTCATTCCCATCCAGTCTCTTGCTGTTTCCCACTTTCAATGCACTGTAGGGTTTTTTAAAAACAAAATCCTTAAACTTCACTGTTGTTTCTTTTTTTCCTAATTCCTATGGCAATATCATATTGTCTGTCTCCTCTGTTTCCACAGAAATCTCTCCCCAGTCTATGCAACATTTTCCAGCCAAAATCATCTTCCTGGAGGAGAAATCTGAAAATACTTTATCCTGTTTGATCTGCTTCCAGAGTCTCTTAATTTGTATCATATCTCCTGAAGTTGAGTTCCCAGTGTAGCATATTCTGACTTAATTTCAATCACTTTATATATTGTTTTCTGTCCTATTCATTCTCTTTTGATGCATTGTCAGGCCTACCTCTTATGAGTTGCACTATGACTTTTGCTGCTCTGCTCAACCTTTTCTATCACAGTCATAACCTTTTCCCTATTCTACTGCTCTGGCAAGATTGGAGCAGGTTCAGAGTTCCCAGTGTAGCATATTCTGACTTAATTTCAATCACTTTATATATTGTTTTCTGTCCTATTCATTCTCTTTTGATGCATTGTCAGGCCTACCTCTTATGAGTTGCACTATGACTTTTGCTGCTCTGCTCAACCTTTTCTATCACAGTCATAACCTTTTCCCTATTCTACTGCTCTGGCAAGATTGGAGCAGGTTCACTCCTCTGAAGAGAATCATCTCACTGCTTCCATAGTTACTGGAGAGGTAACTAACCTCTTCCTATACTTTATTTTGAATGGTAAAATGCAGCAAACAATTACACTGTCCCTTCTCAAAAAGAAGAATACTAGAGTGCCAGGACGTTTACTAGACTTGAGTATAACAATTGGCACTGGTTTTTGTCCTGGTTTTCCTCATTATATTTTTTCATGCTGTTTGCAGTCACTGTGACTGACAGTTCAGATGTTGTAAATGTCCTGGCACCTACAGGCTGGTGGATAGCAGGCACTTGGGCTATGAGATGGAAGAAGAGCTATCATCACTACCCAGATGGATAATTGGCCCCAATTTACCCTCTGCACTGAGGCTCACTCCAGCTAGCACTGTCTCTCTAATACATACTGTAGGCTGGGGTACAGTATCAGCTTGTTTGAAAAACAGCACCATATACACTGCCTATGTGGCACCACAAAAATAATCAGTTGCACCAAGTTCACAACATGGGTAATAATCAAGGCCATGGTCTCTAATCAACATTGTGATAAGAGAGTATGAAAGAAACCCCAATCCTTGTATATAATACACTGAGGGAACCACCTGCAGCTTCATAAAAGAGGAGGAAGGCAAATGGTAGCCTTTTGGCAATGATAAATGACCACAGTACCTTTAACCCACCTTTTCATGGATTTGGGAGAGAGGTCCTTTTCTATATCCTTTGCAGGAGTGTTGTAGGAGTCTGCATTGCATTCACTGTCATCATCGTATTCATGGTCAAGCAGTGTTCTTGCCCACGTCCCCATATCATAGGGGGGCAGCATTCCTCCAAACTCTGAAGGCAGGATCTCAGGGTGTATTAGCTGATGCAGGCTGTTGAGGTTATTTCCATGCAGGAATATCTGTATGTGCACATGCAGGTAAAAACAAAGGGGTATCAAAAAAAAAGCATCAAAGTCCAAATGACATAATCATTGTTAAAGGATATTGTACAGTTTCAATATTCTGGTTGTGTTGGCTTTACAGAGGCAGAAAGGGAGGCACACATCACCTATGCCCCAATCATGGTCATACTACATTCATATATCTCCAAAGTGATTAAAGCGTAAATGATTCAAAATGTTTGCAGGGCAAGGAACCTAAGGAGGATAAGAACTGATGTCTGGATGGATGGAATATTAGATAGACTGCCTATTTCTTGCTATTTGCTCTCCCAAATCCTGTGAATTAAATTAAGTGAATAAATTAAGAACTTAAATAATAAATAAAAATCATATTCACCATATGCATCGAGGAATATATATTAACTTTCAGCATCCCGCCATGAGTTCTATAAATAAGATAAATAGTGCAATATAATGATAACACTGCGGGAAAGATTTTCTTCCTTAATCTAGTGGTACTACTAAGTGCCATTTATATGTGACAACACATGAAGTAAGTAATAACAGTAAAACAATTCCTGTGACAACCACAAGGAAATAGCTGATAGAGTAATTGAGATTTTCCAACAATGTTTTGGCAGACTGATATTCATATACACTTTACATTTATATAGGTATACTAATATGAAATATATGTATATGAATATTTGTGTTTATGTTTAGCCTTATTGCTTCTCCTCAGAGATCTGGAATGTGTGACCTATGAGCACTAGCAACAGAGTGTCTCTGCCAGCCTTCTCCCACAGACACTAGGGCTCTGCAGACTTTCCACTGGGAAGCAATGCCTGCTTTTGGGTATGGCTACACATACAGCTCACAACAACTATTTCTAAACTAGCAGGTAAGATGGGCCAGGATTCACACTTTGGGACTAAGACCAAGTGTCGTGGCATGGTTCACATCCATACGGTCAAACTCCTTTCATCTCCAGAACAAGCTCACCTCAACCATACTGCTCACTGGTTCATGCCATCCCCAGATTTTTCCTGGGCAGTGCCTAAAAAAGTCCCAGCTGGCACTCACTCAGTGCCCTACCTGAAAGTGTCCACACAGTTAAACAGTAGAAAAGGCAGTGCCAGACCCTTTTTAATTGACTAGCACAGAAGCAGCCAAAAAGGGAAGGTAGGATGTTGTCTCCTAACAGCTGTCCCCTGCCTTTTGGTCCCTACAGGGTAGGCAGGGATGTCTGTGCTCACAGACATCAAGTGCCACCAATTCACATTCCACTGCACCTTGCAGGGACTTCTCTGGACAGCTATACCCCTAGCATGATTTATCAAGAGTCAAATTCAAAAGGCAGAAAGACAAACACCAAATATATGCTTGTCTTATATTGCTTATTTCAGCCCATCTTCCAGTCAGATGTGGAGACAGGAAATTTAATATGACCATGCAAACCCAGTAATTTTCTTCCATCTCAGAAAGGACTTTATCCTTTTGTGAAAGAACATATATTAATAGTGAAAGTAATTTGCTTTATGGTGCCTTTACAGCTGAATGCTTTGCTTCTTAGCAATTGTTTTTATACATGCCTTGGACTACATTTATTTGAATCTATATTCAATAGCTATCAGTTGCAAATCTACCAGACATATTAGAAAAAGGCAAAATAATTTAGGATAAACACAACAGATAAATAATAAGCCTGATAAAAAAAATCTAGAGAATTCTGTTGGGTTTGGGGATTTTTTCACAACCATTTGTTCTGCATGTAATCATATTTTTTTTAAAGCTGATTTTAAATTTTATCTGCTGGGCATAACTTTCACATTTTGACACTAAGTTTTGAACTGTAAATCGATATTTAACCATTTGAGTACTTTTTATAGATATTCAGTATTGACAAAAAACAGTTGCAAAAAGTCAGTGTTTCTGAAAATATATTCCATTGATTCAGGTGTTTAAATAAAAATGTAGATGCTACCTGATAAGCACCCATGTTCAACTGCCTTGTCACTTATCTTTAATGCTGTAACACACCCATGAGCTGCACTTTACTCCCTGGTTATGCATACCCAGCACTTGAGTTAAAAAAGCCTCAAACATATCTGGCACTATAATGTTCTTTGTTGAAGCTGTAGTCAACAGAGTGCAACTGCATCCTGCAAAATGGGGTTTCATTTGCATATTTATAACAGGGATTACATAAAAGGCTTTGTGATCTATAGTTCAAAATCTGTGAATACCAGAGGCCTCTCTAGCATAATCTGTCAGTAAAAAACAGCTAAACATCAAGGATCATTGTGGCCTTGTAGACTGTATTTGAGGAGAGAAAATAGAGAGTTGCTTAGAGAGCTGATTCCATAAAAAAAAAGACAAAACATCACATTCTTTGTAGCTGCTTTGTACATGATGCTTATTGTGTTTTCCTGGATGACAAATTCCTGTTACAGAAATAATATCACTCTATATGCTATCACCGCCAAGCTCTAATTTAATTGCACTGATGCAAATGCTGCAAATTCAGCAACGTCTCAGAGACTGCTCATGCTCATGCACAGATGCATGCACACAAATTTCCTTTTATTGGCTTCCATTCAGATTAGTATTTGCAAACTAGTATATACCAGCTGGGTATCTTAGTTCACGCTAATGTCAAGGAAATCACTAGGAAAGGAATTCGCACTTGCTACCTATTTTTGAAAGAAAGGCACAAATAATTTTAACAGAAATTAAATAGAATGGAATCGAATGCAATCTTAATAGAAACTGTAATGTTGGCAATATTTTTAATATAACCCCCAGAAGAAAGCATATGCTTACATTTTAAAATACATTTAAGTGAACTGCTTGTCTGTGTCCTTAAAGGATAATGCTGTAAGTTTATAAAACAGTTAAAGATACTCTTTACAACACAGATGTGTTTAAATACTTTCCACCAATAGCAAACTGGTATCTCGTAGATCTACTTGATGACAACTGCAAGAAATGAACAGTTAAACAGAAGAATACCCTTTTTCGTGTCTTCTCCTTTAGAAAGGGTCGTATAACTGTGTAGAGGGCATGGATATACCAGGGCTGATTGACGAAATGTATTCCTCCAAACCGAGCTGGAAAGCTGTCCTGTATGACACAAAACAAACACATAAGAGTGAGTGAGTTCACTCTTAACGTATATTGCACATGCATCAAATATATTTGTTTTCTCCTGAATGCTTTAATTTTAATGATAAGCCTTACACAAGAAGAAAGATTATACAAAATTGTGCCCTCTCAGCTGAGTTCCAACCTTCCACACCAAGGAGCAGGACACCCCAGACTGGGTAGTAAGAAAGTGTACTGACATAGCTGTGGTATTCAAATAAAGGCACAGCATTTGTAACCTCCAGAAATGCTTTAAACATTTATGATTTGCCCATAATTCACCTATGCAACACATTTTTCTCTTTTCCAGTTCTATGGATTTTATTCATTTTTAATAGTAACAATCTCAACTCTTCCAGTGTCATTGAAGAGCACTAGAAATGTCCCACGTTTCCACCTTAAAAAGAAAGTGTAAATTTAAACTACTATTCAAAATGTCTCCAATATTATCCATATTTCATAAAACTGAAAATGCATTAAACATTATGCATAAACTGTTATATAATATCCATGGCAGTAATTCTTGTCACATAGTCAGAGACTTCTGGGAACTTAAATGTAAGGATAGCATATCTGTATTGATGCAATGACATTTCTTTCTTCTTGCTGAAAATCACAAGGGGCAGATAACTCACTAGGAAAGACTCTGATATGCATTTTCAATTTCTAAGTCAAGAGAATACGCCAGAGGGTTTGGCAGTTTGAAGAGGGCAGGCACTCTGTCCTGGAATACAATTGCCAAATTCATTGTGTGTCCCCATTTTGTCTTTGCCTGGTTGATCATACACACAGAATGCAATAAGCTGCTGCTATCTCCTATGTTGCCTAGAGTTACACCACTGAGAAAGAGGGAACGAGGTGCAAACAGGCTTGTAAGTTCACACACATCCCCTTTTGTTTTCAAGGGCTATGTCAGAACCTTCTCAGTGAAGAATTTTCTCTTAGGTATGCAGATTTACTAAATTAATGGCTTTCATTTGAACCCTAATTCAACAGGTAGCCCACTGCAGGCAGATATTTTAGTCAGTTAAATCAACACTGGGTTCCACACAGCAGCAGCAACTTCCATTTAACAACACAGGTACAATCAAGGGCATGCTCTCCAGCTACATCTCCTCCTCTTCCTCCTCCTGTATGGATGCAGTAAAGGCAGCTTGAGGTCTGAGTCAGTGGGATCAGAGGATCAAAAGGAGGCAATCGAATGGTCAGATGGGGGCACTCTGTGCAAATAGACCTATTTTGCCTCCTCTGGAGACAAGACAGCAGGCCTATAGAAGCATCCAGCAGCTAGGTATAATCTGCAAAGCAACATTTGACACATACTGTTTAAGGGTGATATAGCACAGAGCAACAAAATGGGCAAGAAAAGAATCATAAGCTATATTAGCCAATCAAGAACTGTGAGATAAGGAAGTCAGAAACCACAGGAAGGAAATCTTTCATGAAATGTTTCCAGATGGAAATATACTTCGAAAACGTGCATGTGCCTGCATGGTCACAGAACTCTTTAGTTCTGCAAATGTGTTCAGACCTGTGGGAATAATGTAGTCTGAAGAGGTCACTTACTCCTCTTATAAATTCCATTCACATACTGTCAGGCATGCCTAACCCAGGGGGGCTCTTTACATCAGGGAACCACTTGCCTCCAAATTGCAACAACTTGCTGGATTACCAGATGAAATATTTTCCATCAAGGAGGCAATGCCTTGACAATAATTTAGAGGGAAGATGACAGCTATGAGACACACCTCTCACATCTGGCTGGCCACAGCACAACAGTCAATGCAATTAACTGTTTGTCTTGCAGTTTTTCTCCAGAAACATTTGATTAACAACAGCCTTGAAATAAAACAATCCTGTTGAAAGACTGCTGCAAAAGCCTCATTTTGCCAAATGCCCATTTCCTGTCAGCACTGACTAAATGTCAAGCAGGAGGGTTGATAATTTGACACATAATTCACCCCATTCTGTATCATAAATCCCCAAACACCATTTTGAGAACACAACCTCTGATGTACAAAAGGTAGTAAATTATGTCCCCATCACAGCAATCCAACAAATCCATTAGGAAGGATAAATCACTGGATGACACCTTAACCTTTAGTTACAGGTGATGCAATTCATCTACAGAAGGTTGTGTTTATTTGGATTGTCATGGCTGCCTCTCTAGTAAAGGAGCCAGTGCTCCATGCTGCGTACCATGCACAAAAAAAGCACACACTAGAGCTGCAGAAGTCTCAGCAGAGCTGAGTCACACAGAAACTGAGGACAATTTGTGAATCAGAAGATCTCAATAGGCAAACAGACACGTACACACACAGATTCAGAGCAGAATGCCAAAGGTATTTGCATTCTAAAGTGGGTTCAGAATGCTCTGAATCTTTCTAAAGATATGAAATTTCTAGCAGACAAAAGGACTATCTTTAGAAAGTACGACTTTGACACTTCTACTATCTTTTTCTGCATCTTGGAAACCATTTACATGGAGGATCACGAATATATGTGGGATGATTCTCAAATAGATGATGCCACTTGATATTAAAAGCCAGTCTGTCTTTGCTTTTCAAAAATTATGAAGGCATTATCTGGAACTGACTAAAGAAGTCAGGTATTTATCAGTTTCTGTGACTGAACTGAGGTGTCCAGATTCAGGAGCACTTTCTAAAGTGTAATCAGGAACCCCAAAATTTGTGCCCAAAAAGAGAAAGGGTGATTTGGTCAGAATGATCCTGCATTGTACAAAGTGCTAGGACTAGAATTCAAAGGTTGCTTAAATTAGATCCAAAACTCAATCTCAAAAGCACCTGGTAAGAAAATTTTAAAAATAAGCAGAATAAGCAACTACATCTGCTGCAGAAACAGGTGTCAGAAGGTTGTCTGGCTCTTGTCAGATGTATCTGACTTCCACATGGGGATTTGCCAGACAGATGGCCATCCTACACAAACAGCAGGTAGGAATTTCTTCTAAATCACTGACTCTTGTGGGGTTTTATGTAGATTAAGTTACAAGCATGGTGGCAGTCACAACTGCCTCTATAGACATATTGTATTTCAACAGAAAAGCCTATAACCCATGAATCACACAAATTCCAAGTAAAAGGAATCCATTGCCAGAAAATAGTAAGAAATGGAGATCGGCCATGAAGTGAGCTGTGCTTCTGACTGAAAAAGTAATCAAACTGATGGGGTATTAGGAAAACAACTAATTATATACACACAGTGTGTGGATTTTTTTTGGCATTCACTGTAACCTCTCTCACAGCAGCAGAACACAACTTTTGCCTGACATCTGGGACACAGCCATGTCACAAAGGTGAGCAGGTAGTTCCTATTAGGGATCACAGTTCTTGTGCTACAAGGCTTACAAATGACAATTAACAGTGGGCTGCCAAGGAAGAGGCAGATCCCTACACTGTCTGCAGGACTGGGTGACTACCACTACATGGCAGTAAGTGACCACCACTCTAAAATCCGTAAGGCAGCACTGGAGAATGATCCCAAACAAACTACCTCACTGGGTTTCCATCTCTTATTTTATGGTTCTGCTGACTCACAGTACAGCAGTTTTACCTTTCTGCCAAATGTAATTTATACAACCTGTCTTTACAAACTTCCTCTCCAAGGACCTAGCTGCTGTTGCCTGCTACTGGCCTCGGCACATGCTAAGAAGTCAGGTTTCTACTTGCCAGGCACCAGATTCCACTCTCTCAGGGTTTTATAGATGGTGTGGCCAGCAGAAACTCTTACAGCACATATAGTAACAGCAAAACCAGTATGCAACATTTTTAACAGTACCTAAAAGATTAAAGTATCAAATTCCTACTGAAAATCAGTGTGAATTTTCTTTTGGTGTCAGAACTGTTATCATGGAGATAATAAAAATGACCCACCTTTTCATCTTTACCAAATGCAAAAAAAAAAAGAACTTCTTAAAGCTCACAGCATTCTCCACTCCTTGGGTATCATGTCTACATTTAAACCTCTAAAGTCTACTTTTAAAGAACTAGCCCTCCTAGCTGAAATTCGTACTGGAATCAAATTTGTTTGCACAGCTCTTAGAAGTGTACTCTCAGAAACTGCTGGGACTGCTGTGTGCCCACAGGTACCTTTGGCAGCCCAGCCACATCAGAGCCTTACAAGCTCCACACCACCTGTCAACAGCCTGTCTGCAAACACCTTGCCACATACTAACACTGCTAGAGTGCTTGGGCACATATGCTCTGGGGTTATTTTTGAGGGTTTGCTGTCCTTATGGGCAGTGAAACTGTTTTTGTGGACAATCTAAAGGCATCCTTCAAAGGACAGTCTAGACAAATATAATGAACACACATGCTTTACTTAAGGCTGTGCTTGAGTGCTGTGATGAATTCAGCCTGTAGCATCTGCCCACCACAAGAGGTTACAAAGTTAAAATGGCAAAAACTGTATCTTCATAACAAAAATTGCAAGTTCAAAGAAAGTATATTAAATTATTAATACCTTAAGAGTGACTTAAGAGTTATTCCTGAAGATAATACATTCAGATCTCCTTCAGCTATTCCAAAAAGCCAGGTACTTCAGGGAGAATAAAAAAATTGTTATGGTGAATCAAAACAGCATATTCATAATGGGAAGCTTCACTAGAAAGACACTGAAATGTTGTCTGCTGCAAAATGCAGAACACTAGTTGTTAATTTAACTTAATTTTTAGCATGTTGAAGAGGAAACTATGGAAAATCATGGAAAGAAAAGGCTCTGATTAGAAGGAATACTTCACTTCCTTAGTACTCCCAGAGTTGAATTACCAAGGGAACTAAGAGTCACTGCTGTCCACATCAGGAAAGGACACCTGTCTTACTCCCAAACTGTAACTTTCACCGAAGGTATGAAAGAACAAGGCATTCTAATACCAAATTTCCTGCCAGCATCCATCCATGACAAGGGTAATTGCAATGTCTCGGAACAAAAATACCTCTGTGTCAAGACTGATCACCTGTGCTC